TAGATAGTCGCAGACTATAACAGATCACACAAGACTTATTGAAACAAAGTATGTATAATTAGTGTGAGTATATGGTTTTAAATGTAACTTGGTGAGTTATAGGCGACTAACGTTAAGTGTCAATGGACACCACGTAGATAGTCGCAGACTATAACAGATCACACAAGACTTATTGAAATTTTATGAATTTGTGCAAGTTATGAGCGACTAGCGTGTACACCACGTAGATATTCGTAGATCATAACAGATTGCAGGAAGTTACAAGCTTTGATAGATCTGTGTGAGTTATGAGCGATTAGTACAAAACGTAAATATTGGCGATAGATTTTGTACAGATAATCGTAGATTATAACAGATCACATAGAATTGTCATAAGTTAAATTAACACATAGATAAACCATGTAACGCAAGCGATTAGTGTGAAATGCAAATGAACAATAGATATTAGACACCACATAGATAATCATAGACTGCGACTAACTATATAAGACTACAAATTATGCAATCAGTGTGAGGCTGAGATATCGTACAAGAGTTACAAGGTCTAATAGGTAAAATACTCCTCTGTCCCAATTTCTGAGTGAAGGGACTCACTCATAACAGGATGGCCGAATGTAAAGTAGGCGGTCTTGTATAGACGCGCATTGGCGCGCCTATCGAATGACGTAACGAAGTATGACGTAGGCATAAAAGGGACGAGTGCAGGTAGCGCGAGTAAGCAGGGTTTTTATATAGAAGGACAAGGAACGGGCAGAACAAGATAGACGGTGAAACTGTAAGGACGTGAGGGTTACTGCTTCGAGTATAGATTAGCCATTGCGTGGACGACAGAGTCGATACTGTAATAATATAAGGCGTCTGAACAAGATCATTATACTTCTGGCGTAATAAAGATAGTGAAAAGGGACACCCGAGTTAGCCAATTATCCTGACCTTTACACAGCTTTGGGCCAAGATAATCAAACTCAGCACTTGCTGACAGGTTCCACGGTAATTAACTGTATATGGAAAGTTAACGAGCATTAGCAAGCATTTTAGGATATAAATCGCCGTAAATACTCGCCGTAACGCAGCCGCGAACGGAACTCTCGTTTAATTCATACCGACGCCATAAAGATTATGATCTTCATTCCGCAAGGAGGATAATATAAACGATTAACCATTAAGTAAACTGTATGATAAACCGGTAAAATAAACACTTATATATATAATAGAAGTTCGCGAATCACATCATAATTTTTTAGCTATCGAAAAAATAAACCGGTTAAATAGAAACGGCTTTTCTATTATCATTACGTCTTCAAAGTAAAGAAATAAATCAAAATAGTTCTCATAAAGACATAAATGCGTAATATAATTTTTTCTAAGGAATTCACGGTATTTTCACACAAAGAGATCTGCTCTATTAGCCGCGTTTCCGCTCGGTGCGCGCCCCACACCTTACATTGCGTGTATTCTTTTCATATCAGAGCATCGTGTGCAGTGTCTTTCGCGCTCTTCCGGCGCGGAGTGCGTTGTTCCGACACATTTGTTCCGGGTCGCTCGCCCCCATGTTATATCCGCGCATTCGAGCATCGGGATACCGCTCGCCTGTTTCACCCTCCACGCCCGCGCCTTAATGCGTCCGCCCGGGGCGGACGTCGCTATCTGGGCCCGGCGAGAAACGCGCCGCATAAACGTAAACCGCGGGCACGACGGAGTCGTGGTTGGATGCGACGTAAAGTCGATGACCCGGAGGATGCATGCTGATGCAAGTTATCCTGACGTATAATACGTTACTACGAGCGTCAAAAATGTCCGAATACTATATGATTCTGTATTCCTACGTTACAACACGTTGTAACGTTACATTTCTCAACCAGATATATTCTTCGAAAAATATTAGGTTTATGCGGTAAATCAACTCACGTGTTATGCGCAAGGCATTCCCGGGCTTACCGTGCAACCTTTCAGCCGAAGATAGTGCAGTCTAAACTAAGAAAAATGGCCATTGTTTCAAACTCGAAGCGTCAATAGGTAATAAGTTATGGGTATTATGATATATATTGATCTATGCGCGTCCAAAGTATCTGCAAGCTTACGCTAAGTCTACATAACTCGTGATTTCTGAAAGAGTGCTTATGGTGAAGAAACATCATTTATTTTGAAGTTAACAAAGGCTTTGATAAAATAATATATTTCAATATATTATAGGTAATGAAAAAAATTCTACTACTATTATTTTAAAACACTTCGGCTTCGAGCCAACATTTGTAATATTCCAAAACAAAGTTTAGTAAAAAATTATTACAAAACACAAAATTATATATAAAGCATAAAAATTATTTCAAAAAATTAAATATAAATGTTGTTCGAATAAACACAATTTTACCTTTACGTTTATTAATATGTATATATGTATATGTTATATAAATTGCATGTAATTGGTTATATTAAAAGAATTAATTCATTTAATTGGTATCGTGCTATGTGATAAAATTTATGTTGATTGAAATAAACAGGCAAGGTTTTATCGCGTTTATTTTACCCGAAAATGTTACTTCATTTACTGTCACCTAATTGTAAGAGACACATTCTCTGAGAAAACGACGCGTATACCTTTTGTTTCTCTCATTTCACAAATATACAATATTCTACAATACTGTAATATTATAATTCCATTTGTTTCATTTGTATACCCATCGTTAGCATATAACGTAAACCGATAATTCCGTAAATTTAGCTTTTGATGGACTAATCCATGTAACTTTCATAAGATATTCATGGATATATTGAAACATTTCCAATGCATTTAACAAAAAAATATCAATATGGAACACAATATTATATTCATATATCTTCATAATATTATATAATTAATTAATTAAATGTTTAATAAATTATTTAGTATTATGTAAGTTATTTAATGCGACATCTTTCGTTAAGCTAATTAACGCGTTCAGCTGGCTCGTATACAACCGCGTATTTCTATTGAATATTAAACAATAGAAGAGTTACGTATAAAATAAAAGCATTTGTCCCGATTATAATTTAATTTAAAGAAATCAATAATGCTAAGACCTGTTTTATGACAATAATGTTCTCTTAAATGTAATAATGTAATGTAATAATGTTTACCTAATTGGTTCTTATTAAATGCAATCTTCCTAGCGTTAGGTTAAGTAATATTAATATTCTAAAAGAATAAATCGGGAGAGTATAATTACCCTGCAGAGCAGGTAAACTGTGGTGATATAGCCTAATATCACGATGGTCAGAAAGAACCATATCGCCCCTCGCGTCCAGAGCTTGGAAATTCCAATCTTTTTTCCCTCAATGATAAAGTACCGCATACCTGCAAAGTTACAGCGGATAACAAGTACGTACTCAGTTTGGCGCAACGGCAGTTTCACAAAAGTGGCACGCTTATCGGGCGGAACTGAGACTATCTGAGGCTTCGTCAACATACGATTTGAATTCTCTTTCATACTGCATTATTCCGTAACAATGCAACGTTATTTTCTCTATGCAGAGACTATATTTCTAAAAGAAGCTTGAAACGTAAGAAATATGTATCAAGTAACTAGAGGAAACTTTGAGTTTAAACATTGATACTTTTTACTCAGTTTCTAGTATAGATAAATAATAAAGTATACAATAACGTAATATTCAAAAGCATGAAATTAAGTTAAGTGCCGAGCATTTAATATTTTAATATTAAATGACGTAAAGATATAGTGTTATCTTGAATAACATAAAATATATGACGTCTTTTGCTCCAAATGCGTTTTTTTTTAAATAAATTTAGCGGCTTACGAAATTATATTCCATAAAACTTTCCGGAATTCCGACCTGTCGAATTCGTTGCGAAATGCATCGAGCAAAGTTCGAGAAATATACGCGGAATATAGCCAATATTTGCGAAAGGTTTCCGGACGTTCCTTGGCAGTTGGCAGTTTATTTGCCTCGCCATAAACGAAGCGACCGTTTCCGTTGTATGTATGTATATATATATATATATATATATATATATATATATATAAAGCCACTCACCCAAAAGGCACACCGCGGCTAATCCCACCGTAACGATGGTGAGTAACGTTAAGATGAGCAGGTCTGATTCTATATTCCCACGATTTCGCGGATGGCTGATCCATATCCTTAGAGATTCTGGCCTGTAGGTACCCATAAAGATAATAACTATGCGCAGCCGGGTACGGGCCGTTAAGATAAAAGCTCAAAAAATTCATCCTTGGAGGATCATGCGCTCGCACGTAGAACGAAATGCTTGTCGGTAAACATAACGCGATGTTAGAATTATGAAACATAATTTGTTTTAATAGTTAAATAAATATAGAAATACTCATTGCTTCACATTATATAAAAAAAAAACAATAAAAATGGAGAAAAAGATGTACAGATTTCACAACATAATAATAAAATCTATACATGTATATATGAGAAAAACTGTTATTTGAAACTAATGTTATGTGAACGTAAATTTGTTTTTTTCCACGACTTGTGGAAAAAAACAAATTTATTTACTATTCTAATTCCAACAATCGAATTGCAAATTTAAAGCGATGCATCGTACGTTATTTTAACACACAAAGCAGAACGTCGCAGTTTATCGTCGATTCCTAGAGCAGTTTATCCGATACATCATTTTTGATGTTCAAGTTAACTCCAAAATGCAACCTGATCGACTATCACGGCGAGGAAACAAATTGCATGGAAAATAGAAAAAAAAGGAAAGAAATATGACCGAGATCAATTCATCGCGGAAAGGAGAATAATGGGGCACGGTAGCGGAAAACGAAATAAGGAAACGCGCCGGTGTGCGAGAGATCGAAGTGCATTTCAGGTGCTTGAATTACATCCGGCTTGAAAGTGCGCCCACCCTCGCGCTAACCCGATAAATGTAATGCTCACCATCGATAACGAGGCGTCTCCACGGCATTGAAGTAGTACCGGCACAATTCGCAGTACGTTCGGCACGACTGATTCAGCCATCGTTCCAAGCAGGACAAGTGCACGTACGCTAGCGTGCCCTTGCACCTGGAAGAGACATGCCGCGTATATATCGTATTGCAATATTGTAATATATTGCCGTAACACATCGCTGGAAAAAGCGTTACGTGATTTTATTAAGGGACCACGGCAAAGAAATAACGTAACAACGATTATGTACTTCATCCTTGCGTGAAGACGGAATTGTATTTGTGTCGTTTAAAGTCGCAGAAAACTCGATGAAAATTGCGTCTAGACGACAATCCGAGGGATGGGATTGTAAAGGATAGAAACTAAGTGACTTCGTTGATTCTTTCGCGCTCGAATACATTCGCTCAGCTGTTCCCAAGCAAATGTGAGACACAGCAGTACCGATGCTAGACTCAACTTTTAAAATCTACAGAAAAAATAATTTAAAATCTCAGAAAAAATAGTCTCCGATCCGTTACAAAATATGCATTTAAATTTTAATATAATCTTTATAAAATGATTTAAATATATGCAATTAATAATTTGCTAATAAAAATACAATTGCTAAACTAACAATTAATTAATGCATTGACCCATATTGCATGATGTTCTTTCGTACACGAATACAGATATTTGTAAAAATAAAATTGTACAAGCACATTATTGCATTCTATGGCTCGGTTTTTCATTTTCTAGTTGACTTTTGGTTTAAGTTTAACCTGATGATAATTTAAAATTGTGTTTTACTATCAATGATTAATCATTAAATCGATGGTTTTTGTAGCGATAATTTTAAAATTACAACTACAAAACCATCAGTTTGATGATTAACCATATGTAGCAAAATATAATTTTTACATCACAGTTAGATAAAATCTCGGATAAAATTTAGGTTAAGTAAACCACAAGTTAACCAGAAAATGAAAAACCGAGCCGTGAGTCTCTATATATCCGATAGGAAATATTAAATCTGTTCGTTCGTGTTTGCTCGTGAACGCGTCGTCACGAAATGTATTCCGCCATCGAGAACGCAAGAAAAATAAGTTATATCCGAATCCTCATTAATCCTCTGCCCCTCTCCAAGGACCTAACGGCTATTCAGCTTCAAAGTAACATTCGGATTAGAAAGGATTTCCGTAAGTTCGAGAATTATGAAGGTAAACGCTTGCGCGCGGGAGATTTGCAGCGGGGCCCGCTCTCATTTCGCACGTCCCCGCTGCGTTTTCACGTAGTTCTTCAAGCACGAGTTGTGTGTCCTTAATCGCCGGGACACGTTCCTCGAACTATTCACTCATTTACGCCCTTCCCACCCGTCTCGCGGCACCGAGCACCGTAAATGAGAAAGGGAAAGGGCAAAAGAGAAGCGAAAGAGAAGTTTCCCCTCCTCTCTTATAACACGTCTCGCTCGCCCGTCCCTCCTTAGCACGATTCCCCATCTCGCCAGCCAACGCGAGAATTATGCGACTACGTGAGGTCGATTTCGGTGCCAAGCCGGAATATACTTCATTCGACGATAGAGTCACGACGTTTCGCTTTGTCAGCCGTGTTAAACGACCGCTGTTCGCCGGGTAATCTCGTTATTATAAACAGTACCGGCAACTATCACGACAAGCTCCTCGCTTCCTACGCATCCTATACCTCTACGCTGTATGCTGCTGCAGCAGCGCGCAAATTAGTCCGAACGAGATACGGAAGTCAGTAAACGTGAACTGTACTACTGTCGCACAATATAGTGATTGCAAAGACAAGTTTATGCGTTAAAGTCTCGTTAAGGTGACATCAGACTTGCACGTCCCTCGACATTTCCCTACTAAATAAAGGAAACTACATGCGATCAAATTTAAAATATTTAACACGTACGGTAATCCTCGATTATTCAAATTGTTTCATCCATGGAACATTCATTCAACATGGAAAAATCGCGCAAGTGAATAAAAATGTTACAGAGTATTTCTTTGTTAATTAATAAACTTCGTATTTAGAGGACACTTACTATATTTTACAATCTGACGTCATATTAGCTTCAATTACAGATAAACACAACTATCAAAGTGTCTGTTGCAATAATCTTATTAAGAGGTGTTATGTTGATCCAAATGTTAGATACATTAAAGTGACATCTTGTGCAAGTTTAAAGTAACAGAAGAAAATTTCAACGAACGAAAATATGCGAGCAACAAAAAGCGATGCGGCGCATATTTTGCTATTATAGCAGTGAATGAAACAATTCTCTTTTACACGATTTGCCCTGTGGCTCACCGGCGTCATAAACTTTTCCTTTTGGCAGCACGACGGTGTACATGAACGATGATTAGCCCCGCCGTATCCGGCGAAACAGTTATCGTCCGATGAAATTTATATGCCGCTCTTCTTTCGCGGCGCGATTTGCCGCGCGCGAGTCTAGCTGCCGCGCGTTATGACATCAGTTTTGCGATTGTTTCGGCGAACAATGCACAGTATGCAACAGAATCCGGAATACTCCGTCAGCGTCGAGTGCGATATAAGGAGCGATATTAAACGAGAAATAATCGCGAGCGACCGCTAGAAAAGTTGCCTGCATCGCGCGCTCGGAAAAATTTCAGCCCAACTTCCGATAATGAAACATTTTAAACAATTCACCTATTCGCCGCGATCCAACCGACGTTTTTAAACATAATACTGTAACATAGCTTGTAACGTAGCTTCGTCTTTTAGTTAATAATTGCGGGTAAAGAAAGTTTTTTTCACACGTAATACAAAGTACGATCAAAATGCGTAAATGATAAGCAAAGATGGATGAATGAATTTCGATGAAAAAAACTCTGTGAAGTCCGAAACCTTCGAAAAAAGATACGTTTTTTAAAAATTACTTTATTTGCAATATATTATCTGAATTGATATAAATGATTGTTCAACACAATTCTTAATTAATTATTTTAATCGCCTGATAATTGATATGCTCGTTGTCATTAGCCTTAATTTCATCTAATACGGTTAGGTTAAATACTTTCGAGCTCGAACTTAACACGTTCATTAAAATGGATGAAATTAATATCTGCATAGCAAAAGTTTTACTCTCTATTTCCGTCAACCAAAGACGGGCGGTGATGATAAGATTTGCTTACTATAAGAAGAAGAGCATTTGTATTCTCGAATGCGAGAACACGCGTGCATTTGGCGGCGAAACTCACGAAACTACAGATGTTTCTACTGCCGAGGGGCAATCACTTCGCTTCTCTCCGCCATAAATAATCGGTCGCATCAAAATTCGCGATGATTCATGCGCCCAGAGTCGACCAGATTTCTGTAGCGGCGGCGGCGGCGTCGCTGCGCATTTACCATCGCGCGTCTAATGTTGCCGTTCTTCTTCTTCTTCTAATATGGCTACCGCCCCCACGAGGGGCTATACAGCCTGGTATTACTTGTTCGAGTAGAATGTCTCTAGATTTTAATGTCTAGGGATTTTAGATATTCGTGAATTAGAGAGCATAGTCTAGGGGGAGGATTTTGGAGCATGGGGAATATATCTATTGTGTTGGTAGGAAAATTTTTTATTATGAAGGCTCGGAGTTTTTGAGAGCTATGGATGCACAATGGGCAGTAAAAGATGACGTGATTGATGTCTTGCCTGGACTCACCACATGGGCA